GTCTTGGAAGATCTTGTTCCACCATTAATTTCTAGAGACAGTTTATCAGGTATATCAGTCTGGGATGGAGGTTATTTTCTTTCAGGGCTTGGAATATTTCACTCCAGGCTCTTAATGGTTTGTGTTGAGAAGTCTACCGTTATTCTGATGGGCCTTCCTTTATAGGTGATCTGTTTCTTGTCTCTAACAGCTTTTAATATTCTGTTCTTATATTGAATTTCTGGGATCTTGATTATTATATGCCTGGGTGTAGTTCTGTTTTGGTTGTAGGTGGCTGGAGTTCTGTATGCCTCATATATCAGAATATCATTTCCTTTTCCTATGTTTGGGAAGTTTTCCTTAATTATTTCTGTAAATAGCCTTTGTTTGTACCCCTAGCTTCTTCATTCACATTCTTTATTCTCAAGTTATAGATCCTTTTGTTGTCTTCTAGCCTTTGTATTGTTACTGCTTGTTTCCTTGTTATTTTTTAAAAGTTTTCCCTTTCATACTCCACATTGCAAAATTGTCCTCCAGTTTGGATAATCTATCCTTAGTTTCTTTCAAGCTGATTTGCCATCTTTCCATAGAGTTTTTAATTTCCTGGTGATCTCTTTGAATCTGCTTCATATATTCTATTTTTTTATGTTATTCATCAAATGGTTCTCTCCTTTGTTTGAGTTCCTCCCTTCCATCTGTATCTGTTTGAGAGGTGCTTAGTATCTCTTTTATTAATATTCTTATATCTTGCCTTACTTGGCTAAATATTTCACTTTTGAACTCATCTATGTGGTCCCGAATATATCTCTTTATGTCCACTGGCGCTGTATCTGATACTACATGTTTGCGGTTTTCATTCTCCTTTGTATTTACCTGTCCTGGGTCAATGGTCTCAGGGTTGGGACCTGGGGACCTTTTCTTGTTGCTTCCTCTTCCCATCTTCTTTGTTTCTTCCAAGAGGCCTCAGTTTCTTTGTTGGTTACAATTCTTTTGAAGCACGCTGGCTAGATGAGCCTTCCCACTGCTGTGTGCTAGTGAGTTGCAGACAGGGACAGTGTATGCTGTCCTCTCACTTCTGGATCAGTCAAGCTGCTGTGGCCTGCGCTGTATTACTATGCGCCCCCTCTTCCCCAGATCAGTCAAACTTCTGAGGTTTCACTGGGTTAGTGTGGTTAGTGTGCACCACTGCTGTAGGGACTTGATTTTGGATAACCTATTGGGTCTCAGCTAGGTCACGTGACCCAGGCCTAGCTCACTCCACCATCCCCATTTGGAAAGGGAACAATTGACTGAAGTCACTGCTGCCCCTTGTACTTGCCAGTCCTGCTCGGTCCCAGAATGTCCCCCAGAGCCCCGCCAATTCTGGAATGGCTCCACTCTCGTCACTCACCACAGGTTGATGTAAGCACCCTGGCAACTCAGCTCTCCATTTGGCTTGCCGACCCTCAACTCAATGTAACTGCGCCTCCAGTGAGTCGAAGTGGCAGGACCTCAGATGGCTCAGCAAGTTGTGGCGAGACCTCAAATGGTTGGCAAGTTGCCTGCAGTGGCTGGAACACTGAACCTTTAGCTGTTCCAATAATAGCATGGGACTGTATGTTTTGTTGGTTCTTCTCACTTTAATTTCTTCTTGGGATGAGAGAATTCATCTCCCTCTGTTTGGGGCTCCCCAGTCTGTACTATGTTGGATTCTAAGTTGACTATCTCAGGGAGCCTCTGTAGCCAGTTGTTATCTATCTGCCATCTTTGCTCCTCCCTCCTAAATTTTATTTAAAGAGAAAAAGAAAAAAAGCAGAATAGATTTACGTATGTTGAACCATCCCTGCATATCTGGAGTGAATCCTACTTGGTCATGGTGTATAATCTTCTTGATGATTTGCTGCATTCTATTTGCCAATATTTTATTGAGGTTTTTTGCATCTCTGTTCATTAGGGAGATTGGTCTGTAGTTCTCTTTTTTAGTTGAGTCTTTCTCCGGTTTTGGTACTAGAGTGATATTTGCTTCCAGAAATGACTTAGGAAGGATTGCTTCCCTTTCAATTTCATTGAAGAGTTTGAAGAGTGTCAGCATTAAGTCTTCTTTGTACTTCTTGTAGAATTCTGCAGTGAATCTGTCTGGGCCTTGGCTCTTCTTTGCAGGTAAGGACTTAATTACATTTTCAATTTCATTAATAGAGATTGGGTTATTCAGCAGTTTTACATCTTCTTGACCTAGCTTTGGTGCTTCATATGTGTCTAGGAATCTGTCTATTTCTTCTGTGTTATCAAACCTATGAGAGTAGAGGTTTTCAAATAGGTGTTGATGATCTTCTGTATTTCTACAGAGTCTGTAGTGATTTTGCCTTTTTCATTCCTTATTGCACAAATTTGAGCTTTTTCTTCCCTTTTTAAAATAAGGTTGTCTAGGGGCTTATCAATTTTATTTATTCTTTCAAAGGACCAACTCTTTGATTCCTTGATTCTTTGGATTGTTTTCTTAATCTGTATTGCATTAATTTCTGCTTTGATTTTTATAATTTCCTCTCTTCTTTTGGCTCTGGGCTTGACTTACTCTTCTTTTTCTAGATGTTTGAGGTGTAACATCAGATTGTTTATTTGTATTCATTCTGTTTTCCTGATATGGGAACTCAGTACAATAAATTTTCCTCTGAGGACAGCTTTCATTGCATCCCACAGATTCCAATAAGTTGTATTTGTATTTTTGTTTGCTTGTAGGTAGTGTTTAATTTCTTCTTTAATTTCTCCTGTGACCCACTGATTACTCAAGAGTGTGTTATTCAGTTTCCATGTGTTTGTGGGATTTTTGCAGTATCTTTTATCATTAATTTCTAATTTCATCGCGCTATGATCCAATAACATGCAAGGGATAATTTCAACTCTTTTGCATTTATTTAAATATGTTCTGTGAGCTAATATTTGGTCTATTTTAGAGCATGACCCATGTACTACTGAGAAGAATGTGTATTCTGATGTTGTTGGATGGAATACTCCGCATATGTCTATCAAGTCCATTTGTTCACAAGTGTGATTCAGTTCTGTTATTTCTTTGCTGATTTTCTGTCTGGTTGTTCTGTCCCTTGGTGTCAATGATGTGTTAAGGTCTCCTTTATAATTGTTTTACTGCTTATTTGGTTTTTCATTTCTGTTAATACTTGTTTTATATAACTAGGTGCTCTATAATTTGGTGCATATTTATGTAAGATTGTTATGTCTTCCTTTTGAAGTTTTCCCCTAACCAGAATGTAATGACCTTCTTTATCTCTTCTGATCATTACTAGCTTGAAGTTTACATTGTCTGCAAACAGAATCACTACCCCCACTTTTTTTTTGGATTCCTGTTGCATGAAATATTATTTTCCATCCTTTGACTTTTAGTCTGTGAGTATCCTTTTGGGTTAGATGGGTTTCTTCTAGACAGTGTATGGTTGGATTTTGTTTCTTGATCCATTCTGCCAGTCTGTTTCTTTTAATTGGTACATTGAGACTATTTACATTAATGGTTATAACTGTTATATGTTGGTTTATTGTTAACATGTTATCTTTCTGCTGTTGCATCTTTTATTTTTCTGTTCTGTTTAGTTGTCTGCTTTGCTGAGTCGTTTTTTCCTAAGTGTATCTAAACTGTCTTTCAGTGTTCTTTGCCTGGTTGGCTTGGTGATCATGAAGTTCTTCAGCTGTCCTTTGTCATGGAAGTATCTTATTTCTCCATCCATTTTGAAGGACAGTTTTTCAGGGTACATCAGTCTAGGTTGGAAATCATTTTCCCTTAGGCTCTGAAATACTTCACTCCATGCTCTTCTTGACTTCATTGTTTGTTTTGAGAAGTCTGCTGTGATTCTGATAGGTTTTCCTTTATAGGTGATCTGTCTTTTTCTCTCTGACAGCTTTTAATATTCTATTCTTATGTTGGATTTCTGGGATGATGATTATTATATGTCTGGGTGTAGTTTTATTTTGGTTATGGCTATTTGGAGTCCTATGTGCTTCACTGATCTTGATATCAGTTTGCAATCTCAGATTTGGGAAATTTTCAGCTATTCTCTAAATATCTTCTTGACATCCTTTATGTTGTCCCCTTCTTTTTCATTTATCCCTGTCAATCTTATGTTGTTTTTCTTTCCATCATCTTGCAGCTGTTGAATTGTTATTTCCTGATTCCTTAGCATTTTTAAAAGATCTTTCCTTTCCTCTTCACTAGTGGCAATCTTGTCTTCGAGGTCTGAACTTCTATCTTCACTTTCACTGAGGTGGTTTTTACAACTTTCAATGGAATTTTTGATTTCCTATGTATCTCTTTGCATCTACTTTATTTATTCTGTTTGTTTCTTACATTGCTCATCCAGGGATTCAATATTTTTGTTTAGTTCCTCCAATTTTTAAGTGTGTCTTCTTTAGGCATGGTCAGCATCTCTTTCATTTCTTTTATCATTTTTTCTTTTACCTGGGAGATTATTTATAGTTTAAATTCCTGTAAAGCTTTCCGGGGTTGCTTCTTTATTTCAGTTGCTGTTATGACCAATATTTCAGGTGTATGGCATGTGTTTTCTTCTATGTACATACCTCTTAAGGTTTCTTTGGAAGGGCTAGAGGTTTGAGATTGTAATTTGGTGTTTCATTCTGTCATTTTGTGTTTCAAGTGTTATTCCAAAGCTTTCCCAGGGCCTGTTGGAAATCCTCTCCTATGCTCTCAGCTCCTGGGACTCTCGCCGCCCAGTTCCCGGATTGAGAGAGGGTCACTGGGGATGGGGCAGGCCAGCTCAAGACCTGCCGAGCTGGTCCAGTGCAACAGGAAGCTACGAAGTTCCTGGTCAGGGCTGAGGAACGTGGATCCCAAACTAACTGGTCTCTGGGGATGGTGCAAGGACACTCACCCCAGGCTGCCCAGCCTCTCAAATGGATGGCGCTGGCAGGCCCAGAACTCCAGAGTCTGCCAAGCTTGGTAGGCAGTGGTGAGACCTGTGCAGGCCGGTTCAAGACCCCCATTTAATGACTGTTCATATTGCTTTTCTCCATTTATTTAGAAATGGATTCAAACACTGAGGAAGACATTCCTGTCCGTGAGGAATTCTTGCTGTGTGGTGGAGTTGAAACACAGGTTATAAAGTGTGGGCCCTGGACTGACCTCATTAACGATCCAAATGGCAGTAGACCTAAGTTGCTTATTTGCGTCATTCCTGGTAAGTACAAAAGTTTGGATCAGAAGACTTTTACACAGATACTCTTAGCCTTTCTGATTTTATGATTACTCATTCCATTGATATCAGGAACCTTTAAAATTTATGTGCTTTTGATCTCTGTGTGTGCATTTATGTTATGTGACATATGTGATTATATGGGGGCTGCAATTGGAATATAACATATTATTTTATAATTGGCTTTTTAAGGTTTCCTTATATTTAGAACTGTATTAAAATTTTAACAATTTTTATTAAGTTTATTAGTATATTTTGGGTATACAGAATGCTCACATTTATTATAGGGAATTTGTATCTGGATGTGATATAACTTGATACCTTTTTTTTCCCCATTCTCTTACCCTCTCTTCGACCCCTTTTCTCTTTCTTCCTTATTTACAAAAGCTTTGTTTCTGTTTTTTGTTCTTTTCTCATCATTTTTTTCTTTTCCCTTCCTTTCCCCTCCCTTCTTCCCTTCCCCATTTGAACATTTTCTTCCTATTTCACAATACGTATTTTGATCCTTATTTACACATTTGGTTTCTCATAACAGAAAGCCATGTAGTATTTACATATCTGTGTCTGATTTATTCCACTTAAGAGAATGGCCTCAATTTGCATCCATTTCGCTAGAAATGTGTCAAGCTTATTCTTCTTTATGGCAGAATAGACCGCACTGTGTAAAAAAAACCAAACCACATCTTTATCCATTCCTCAGTTGATGGGCATTTGGGCTCTTTCCAAGATTGGCTGTTAGATTTGGCTGTTAGAACTGAGTCGCTGTAAACATGGATGTGTATGTCACTGTGGTATGGGAAAGATAATCAGAAGGGGAATACCTAGATCAAATCGATCCTGTAGTCCTAGTTTTTTGAGGACTCTCCACACCAATTTCCACAGTGGTTTCAACATCTACACTCTCTCCAACAGTGAAAAAGTGTTCCTTTTTTCCTGCAACCCCTTCAGCATTTGTTATTGGTTGATTTCTTGATAGTAGCTATTCTTTGAGGTGAGGTGGAATCTCAGTGTTCTTTTAATTTGCATCTCTCGAATGACCAGTGATATTGAACATCTTTTCACGTATTTATTTGCTGTTTCTACTTCCTAGAAATGCCTGTTTATTTGAGATGCTCATTTTAGAATTGGGTCTTTAAATTTGGGGAGTTTTTGAATTGGGTCTTTAAATTTGGGGAATTTTTAAATTTTTTTGAGTTCTTCACATATTATGGATAGTAGTCCTTTGTCTGAGGAACAGCTGGCAAAATATTTCCCCACACTGTAGGTTGTCTCTTCCCTTTGTTGGTGGTTTCTCTGGCTGTGCAAAAGCTTATTAATACAGTGAGATCCCAGTTGTTGATTCTTTGTAATATTTCCTGTGTGACCAGGTTTTTGTTCATAAAGTATTTGTCTACACCAGTATCTTCCAGAGTGCTACATAATCTATCTTCCAGCAGATTTAATGTTTCTTTTTTAATATTTAGATCTTTGATCCACTTTGATTTTAGTTTAGCACATGGTGAAAGATATGAGTCTAGTTTTAATCTTCAGCGTGTGGAAAAGCTACTTTTCCCCCCATTTATTGAAGAGATTTTCTTCCATTGTTTGGGTCCTTTGTCAAAGATAAGGTGGATAAATGTGTGTAGATTTGTTTCTGCCTCTTCTAATCTGTTCCATTGATCCTTCGGTCAATTTTTTTTTATGATGATATTTTAATTTTATTTATTTATTTATTGGAACCAGGGATCAAACTCACAACCACATGCTTGCAAGGCAGGTGCTTATGCCGCTGAACTAAATCCCTGGCCCACAATGATGTTTTTAACACAGCAGTTTTGTCATATAATTTCAAGTCAGAGATTGTGATGCCCCCTGCCTTGCGTTTATTGCACAGAAATGCCTTTGCTATTCTAGGTCTCTTCTGGTTCCAAATGAATTTTAGGATTGTTTTCTCTAATTCCGTGAGACATGTTGGAATTTTAATCAGGATTGCATTAAATCTGTGTAACAATTTTGGGAATATAGCCATTTTCACTGTCGGTTCTTCCTATCCAAGAGCATGAGGTGTCTTTCCATTTCCTGAGAGCCTCTTCTATCTCCTTTTTCAGAGTACTGTAGTTTTCAGTGTAGAGGTCTTTTACTTTCCTCATTAGATTGAGGTTTTGGATGCTACTATGAAAGGCATTGTTTCCCTAATTTCCCTCTCAGTGAATTTGTTATTCATGTATAGGAAGAGTATTGATTTTTTCAGTGTTGACTTTGTATCCATCTATGGTACTGAATTTGGTTGTTAAATCTGGAAGTCCTCCAGGGGAGTTTCTAGGGTCTTCCATGTAGACGATCACAAATGATTAACTTCTTCCTTTGATGTCCTTACTCCTTTTATTTCTTTCTCTTGCCTAATTGCTCTGGCTATTGTTTTCAGAACTATATCCAATAAGAGTAGTGACAGTGGACATGCTTGTCGTGTTCCTAATTTTAGAGTGAAAATTGTCAGTTTTCATCCATCTAATATGATGTTAGCTGTTGGTTTGTCATAGGTGGCTTTTATCAAATTTAGATAAAGACTTGTCTATTCAAATTTTCTGTAGGATTTTTATTGCAAATAGGTGTTAGATTATGTCAAATGTTTTTTCTGCTCCTGTTGAGATAATGGTATGGTTTTTATCCTTGGTTCTGCTAATAGGGTATATTGCATTTATTGATTAACATTTGTTGAACCATCTCTGCATCCCTGGGATGAATCCTACGTAGTCATTATGTATAGTCTTCTTAATGATTTGCTGCATTCTGTTTGTCAATATCTTATTGAGGATTTTTGCATCTGTTTATTAGGGATATTGGCTTGTAGTTTTCTGTCTTAGTTGGGTCCTTCTCTGGTTTTGATATCAGGTTAATGCTTGCTTCTAAAGACGAATTTGGAAGTATTGCTTCCTTTTCAATTTCATTAAAGAATTTGAGAAGTAGTATTAGCACTTCTCTAAATTTCTTGTATAATTCAGCAGTGAATCAGTTGGCCTGAATTTTTTGTTGATTGATTTTTAATTACATCTTCAATTCCATTGATACTGATTTATTTAGAATTCTTATATCTTCTTGGTTCAGCTTTGGTTCAGTTCATATGTATCTAGGAATCTGCTTATTTCTTCTGCATTTTTCATTTTATTCAGAGTATAAGTTCTCAAAGTAAGCATAGATGATCTAGATTTCTACAAGATCTGTTGTGATTTCCCCCTTTTCATTCCTAATGACATGGATCTGAGTTTCTTTCTTTCTTTTGTTGAAAAGGTTAGTTAAGGATTTGTCGATTCGATTTCATCTTTCAAAAAACCAACTTTTTGATTCATTGATTCTTTGTGTTGTTTTCTTATTTTCCATTACATTGATTTTTGCTCTGATCTTAGTAATTTCCTCCCTGTTATGAGCTTTGAATTTGACTCACTCTTCTTTTTCTAGAAATTTGAGGTTCAATATTAAGTGTTTATTTAAACTCACTCTGTTTTGGGTATTTGCCACTATAAATTTCACTCACAGGACTGCTTTTATTGTGTCCTATAAGCTCTGATCTGTCGAACTGCCATTATTGTTTAATTGTAGAAACTAATTTCTTCCTTAATTTCATCTTTGACCCATTGGTTGTTCAAGAATGTTTAATTTCCATGTGTTTATGAATTTATTATAGTTTCTTTTGCCATTGATTTCCAGTTTCACTCTCTAGTAATACGCATGGGATAATAATTTCAGTTCTTTTGCATTTATTTAAGCATGTTCTATGAGCTAGTGTGCGGCCTACTTTGGACAATATCTCATATGTAACTGAGAAGAATGTGTATTCTGATGTTGTGGGGTAGAAAACTTGTAAAAATATCTATTAAGTTCATTTGTTTTAAAGTTTGGTTCAGTTCTAATATTTCATTGTTGATTTTTTTGTGTGTAATCTACTTGTGACAGTGGAGTATTGTGGTCCCCCATTAAAATTATATTTGATTTTTTTCAGGACTGCTCATCATATTTGTTTTATACTTGAGTGCACTGGTATTTGGTGCATATATATTTATAACTGTTATTGCTTCCTCTTTGATGGTTCCCCTTACAAGGACATGGTGACCTTCTTTATCTCTGTTAATCAATCTTGGCTTGAAATTCATTCTTTCTGCAAATAGAATAGATGCACTTGCTTTTTTTCCAGGTTCCTGTTGCATGGAGTATTGTTTTCCATTCTTTAGCTTTCAGTCTATGAATTTATTTTAAATTGAGTTTCTTGTATGCAGCACATTGTTGGCTCTTGCTTCTTGATCCATTCCGATAGTCTGTTTCTTTTGATTGGTGCCTTGAGACCATGAACACTGATGGTTATCACTGATACGTGTTGACTTCTCTTTGTCACGTTATTTTCCTGTTGTTCCTTTTTTCCTTTCATTTGTTTGCTTTTGCCTGGTGAGTTCATTTTGTAGGCATTGATGGAGTTGAACCCTCGCTTTCTCTTTTTAAAGTATCCTTCAAAACATTTTGGTGTTCTAGTTTGGTGTTCATGAATCTCCTCAGATATTCTCTGTCATGGAAGTATCTATTTCTCCATCAATGTTTTTTTTTTTATCGGTACAGGGGATCAAACTCACGACCACACACTTGCAAGGCAGGCGCTTATGCCGCTGAGCTAAACCCCAGCCCCACCTCCTATCAATTTTCAAAGATAGTTTTTTGCAGGGTACTTCCATCTGGGCCAGAAGTTGTTTTTTTCTAGGGCTCAAAATATTTCACTCCAAGCTCTTCTTTACTTGAGGGTTTGTGCTAAGAAGTCAGCTGTGATTCTAATGTGTTTTCCTTTATAGGGGATTTGTTTCTTTTCTCTAACAGCTTTTAATATTCTGTTCTTGTGTTGGATTTCTGGAATCTTAATTTATGATAGACCTTGCTATAGATTTTTCTTTGATCATAGCCAGTTGGAGTTCTATATGCATCACATATCTGTGTGTCAAATTCTTTTTGCTTGCGAGGGAAGTTTT